CCACACCCCTTATAAAAAAAACCCCAAAAAAAAAAAAAAAAAAAAAAAAAAAAAAAAACTAAACTAAAACTTATTTAACTATTTTAATGACAATTTAAAACATATTGTCTTATGTGTTAAAACAAAGACTATGCCACTTATATAGAAAAAATAGCTAGTTAAGTTAAAATTTAAAATATAAAAACATCAACTGAAGATTCAGAAAACTTCTCACAGCTAACATTATTTATTTTTAAGCTTTGTGGACCAAATTCAGATTCTAACAATCTTCTTGGCATGCAATCAATACTACTCACAACCTATTTCATTAATTCAACATTTTTAACAATAGTATATTATAAATCTGACTTAAAAATAGATAGGCAACCATAATAAAAATGTAAGGTAAAATAGCAATATATAAATCTGCTTTCTTTTCATGATCAGTTACATACTTTGCATTATAATTTCAAAAGAGAAAAAATAAGTATTACTATAATTAAAGAATATACATTTTAAAAACGTAAAATCAATGTGTAAAAGTGAAAACTGAGTTATTTGAGACTTATTTATAGTATTTATCATGGGGAAAATATTTAGTATTTTTTACTGGAACAGACTAAAATGAAATTTTAGCATTAGATACCCACAGAGACATTTTTATATGACTTTTCAATTCTGAAAAGAGCCGCTTTTAAACAGACATGGTGGGGCCAGCAGGTAGTGTGGTGGTTAAGGGTGCTGGACTCCCACATGGCTGTCTTCAGTGAGTCTCAGAACTGGCGGCTTGCTTTCTCACTTTCTCTCTCTCTGTTCCTCTCTGGTCAAATTAAAATCAATCAATAAAGTTAAATAAAATAATTCTTAAAAACAAAAAAGACATGGTAAAAATATCCTTTTGGATGAACCTTGGGTATAGTTGGTGGAAGCAAAGGGAAATAATCTGAAGTTTGTCTCTAATTTCCAATAAAGAAAACCAAAACAAAAAGACATGGAAGGGAAAGATACAGTTAAATAATTTTTCCCCTGCCATTCTTCCCCCTTGGAACAAACTCTGGGGCTCTATATTTACTAGATCTACTTAACAGCTTTATGACAGAGACCAGCACATGGCATAATGTTATGCTGCTGGACTCCCACAACTTGGATCCTGGAACCAGGGGCTTGAAACTCACTCTGTGCACGTGTGTGTGCAAGCCCAAAATCCTGAGGAGAACGGAGAAGGGATGGCGTGGCCATCCCCACTGGGGTGATTTCTCACTTTCTGTCTCTCTCTCCAGCTAGGGCATGCACCTATAGCAAAAATCTCTCTTTATAAAAAAAAAAAAAAAAAAGACTGAGGACCAGCAGGTGCATGGTAGTTAAGCCACTGGACACTCCCACATGGCTGGCCATGGTTCAAATATCCAACCTGGTGGCTTGCTTTCTTACTTTCCCTCTCTCTCTGTGTTTCTCTCTGGTCACATTAAAATAAATGAACGAATGAATAAAATAAAATTAAAAAATAATTCTTTTTAAAAATAAAGGTTTTATGAGATTTATTACAGTGTGTTCTCCTATAGCTCTTTAAATGAACTTTTATAAAAGTGACATTTAACCCAGAACCTCCGTAAGTTCTATCCTATAGGATTAGAAATTGTCCATGTACTGAGTTACTCACTATAAAATAATATCTCTGTCACAAATAAGCTATAAATGAGAATAATTATCCCTGTCTGAACTAAACTACGCAACACTGGAATCGAGTTGAAATCTCAAGCTTCATTTGATCTCTCTGACAAGCGCATGTGCCTTATAGCAAAAACCTCTCTCTCAAAAAAATAAAAAAATAAAAAAGACAATGTAGCTATTTAGAAAGTTTTAATATTAAAATTCCTCATGATTTCAATTCCATCAAAGAAATTATTCTGCTGCAATTTATTACATATAAACTTTACAAGGAAAAGGACAGATTTTCTATCATCTACTAGTTTCTAAATAACTTATTACCACTGGAATACATTTAAATCAAAGATACACTGCATGAGGGACCAGCAGTTGGTGTAATGGCTATGTTGCTGGACCCCCATGTAGTCAACCGTGGTTCGAGTCCCATACCCGGTGGCTTAAATTCACGCCAGGCACATGTGCATTCGTGCCCAAGATCCTAATAGGAGAGTGGAGAAGAAGGGACTGAGCTGTGGCCATCCCCCCAGAGGGTGATTTCTCGCTTTCTGTCTCTCTCTGTCTTTCTGGCAAGCATACGCATCCTATAGCAAAAACCTCTAAAAAAAAAAAAAAAATACACTGCTTGGAGCACCTAGGGCATTTCTAAAGGAAACATATTAAGAATAAAGATTGCAATGACAGAAAACAATCAAATGAGTTTTGCATGCCCAAATATTTAAAAGATGTAAGTATATACATGTAAATATATTTTAAAAAACTGATCTTAGGAGATAATACATGTATACTTTAATATTTAATAATAATAATGAACCAAATACCTTGGATTAAATTTTGCTTCTTCCATCATTTTTTTGAAGTCTTCCTTGGCTTGCATTATTTTGTTTTTCTTTTCCCTGCGTTCTTCCTCTGCCCTGGTCTTTACATACTGATCAAAAACCTATCGAAATAAAAAAACAATTAAAAAACTTAAGTCTTTCATATAGATAATCTAATTATTTGCCTATATAAATTCTACAAAAGAAAAAAACTAAACTATCTTGTCCAAACTGTAATAGAAAAACTATGTTAATTATAAATAATCTTAGGAAACTCTCATTTTAAAGCTTCATTCAAGCATGACAGCACCATACAGCCCTCTGTTTTGCTTTTAAGAACAGAAAGGAAAAAAAGAAAAAAAAAAAAAAACAGAAAAGCCTCTTTAATTTTAGAATTTGTCCCCCCATAATGGATTAAATACAGGAATACTATAAAGATTTCAAGCATGTTAGAAATATAGAAGAGAAATTACAACGAGCAAATGGCATAATGGTTATGTTGCTGACGCTGACCACGTGTCAAGTGCTGGACCAGGAGTCTTGAAACCCAAGCTGGGAGCACATGTGTACATGCCCCTCCCCACCCAGGTAATTTCTCACTTCCTGTCTCTCTGGTGAGCACACTGGCTGTAACAGCAAAAATTTCTCTCAAAATAATAAAGAAATGGATAAGAGAAATCATAGTCCTCAGAAATTCTCTTTCAAAAAACTATGGTTGGGACCAGCAGTTAGCGTAATGGCTATATCGCTGGACTCCCATGTAGCTGACTGCGGTTCGAGTCCCAGACCTGGTGGCTTAAACTCACACCGGGCATGTGTGCGTGCATGCCCAAGATCCCGAGAGGAGAATGGAGGAGAAGGGATTGCGACGTGGCCATCCCCCCCTGGGGGGGGTGATTTCTCGCTTTCTGTCTCTCTGGCAAGCGCACGTGCCCTATAGCAAAAACCTTCCCCCACAAAAAAAAACAAAAACAAAAACAAAACTATGGGCTTAATTTTATTTCTGTGCATCTCTTAAGACATTAAATACTTTCACCAAAATGTAAGCATTACATCTGTAATTTTTTCCCATTTAATAATACAGTTAAGATAAAGTGAATATCAACAACTAGATTTCCTGTGTTCTTCAACTTCTAATAAAATAACTGAAGTTTTCCTCTTCTGTTTTTTAAAAGATTTTTTAATCTGACTTTATTTATTTATTTTAATTTGACCATAGAAAAACAGCGAAAGAAAGAGAAGGAAAGCGAGAGCTCAAGCCTGCAGGTCCTAGACTCAAACCACAGTCAGCCATGTGCGAGTCCAGCGCCCTTAACCACCACACCACCTGCCTCATTTTCTTATTTTTTAAGTCATAAAAAACAAGAAAGAGAAATGAGAAAAAATAAATATTAAATAACTTGATAAACTGCAAAGCCAAAGTACAAGTGGCAAAATAAGGAGACATATAAAAGGGCTGAAACTTAATTCCTTTCTTATTCTTTTTTCTTTTTTTTTCTCTTTTACCAGATAACCCTCAAACAGTGCAGGGATTGATAGAACCAGATGGAAGCAAGGGTAGGGTATAGCTACAATGAGGAGTAATAAATGAAAGTCCGTTTAAAGCAAGTTACATTGCTACATTCCATCACCAGCTTTGTGTCTGCACACTGCCACCCTGAACCCTTCTAGATTATTCTCTAGAGCAAAGCGTTGGCAAACTATGGTCTACAAACCACTTTTTTAACAGCAAAGTCTTTACACTTTTAAAGTGTTGAAGGTATAGCAGTCATTAGCATACTAAACTGCTGTGCTGAAAGGCACATGGCTAACCACATGTTTGGATCTGAAGGCCCATCAAAGTGAAACATACAAGGTGTATCGGCACATGCCACCTAAAATAACAATCTGGGCAGCTGAGAAAACGGGATTAAACCCTGTTGAAGGTCTGCCTCTCTCATGTGTTCATATATGCAGTCTCTATCATGAATAAAATAAACTGAAAATTAAAAAGTTAGGGGGCCAGCAGGTAACATGGTGGTTAAGGTGCTGGTTTTCCATATGGTCAACTGCAATTTTGAGTTTTAGACTTGATGGCTTGCTTTCTCACTTTCCCTCACTGTCTCTTTCTGGTAAGTGTATGTGCCCCATAGTAAATTAAATAATTCTTTTTAAAAGAAAAAAAATAAGGGGCTGGCAGGTGACATAGTGATTAAAGTGCTGGACTCCCAACATGGCCAACTATGGTTCAAGTCCCAGACCTGGTGGTTTGCTTTCTTACTTTCCTTCTCTCTCTCTCTAAACTGAATAATAAAAAAATGTTTAATAAAAAAATTTAAAAGTTCGAGGAAAAAATTTTTTTATTTCACAACACGAAAATTAAGCAAAATTTAAATTCCACTGTCCATAAATAAAACTTCCTTTCCATGTAGTCATGCTTATTTTTACATGTCTATGGATGCTTTCAAACTAAAATGACAATTAAACAACTGAGATAAAGACCATACAACCAACAAATACTAAAATATTACTCTCAGAGCCAGCATTTGGTGTGTTGGTTAAGGCGCTAGACTCCCACAAGGACAACAGTGGTTTGAGTCCCAAACCCAGCAGCTTGAAAATTATGTTGAGCACGTGTGCATGCGTACCCAAAATCCCAAAAGAGAATGGAATAGAAAGGACTGCAGCATGGTGATCCCCCTGGAGGGTAATTTCTTACTTTCCCTTTTTCTATCTCTGTCTTTCTCCAGTCAGCACATGCATCCTATGGCAAGAAAATCTTAAAAAAAAAAAAAAAAAAAAAATGCTCACTTCTTATTATAGAAGTTAAAAACAGTGTGTCTCTGAAGTGGGGAAGACAAATCAACAATGAAGGATACGAGACTGAAACCAAACACTATCATACCTCAAATATTTTTTTAAAGAAGTATTTTATTTAACTTTATTTATTTTAATTTGACTAGAAAGGGACAGAGCTAGAGAGAGAGAGAGAGAGAGAGAGAGAAGAAAAGTGAGAAAGTAAGCCACCAGGTCCGGACTCAAACCACAGTTGGCCAGGTGTGAGCCCAGCGTCCTTAACTACCAAGCCACCTGTAGGTCCCCATACCACATATTAAGATGAAGAAAAAGCAGCAAGACCTGAGCTCTCCAGGCAGAAGACTCGAGAGATCGAAGTCCTTCATCAAAAATCTGACCAGGCTAAAAATACTGGCTCAAGGAAACTCTCAACAAATCAGCAAAACTCATTCTATAGCAGGTTCTCAGCCTTGGTATTGATGACATTTGGGGCCAGATTTTTAACAGAAGCCTTGGCTTCTACTCACCAGATGCTAGCAGTACCTCTGCAGTTCTGATGATCAGAAGTGTCTCCTGATACAAAACTGCTTCTGGTCAAGAACTATAACTGCAATAAAGCCCCCAATTGTGAGGGTCCACCCAGCTGCTACTAGTGCCCAACAGCATCTCAGTGCTTCAGTACCAATCATGAGTAGTCAGGGTCTGAGAGATTTAAGGCAACTCTCCAACATGAAAAGAAGGCTCTGAACCTTTGGTTTTTCTAACCTCAGTATTAACAATGGCTAATCAGTAAAATAAATATACAAAAGAAAAAATATCCTAAACAACCTCATAGGGCCAAAAAATGATATAAAAAAGAGAGAGAGAAAGAGAAATCTCAAGATACAAAAAAGAATTCAGAAATTAAAACATAAAAGAAAAAACGAAATATCCAACTAAAGCGGTGATGGACAGGGGCCAGCAGGTGATGCAGTGGTTAAAGTGCACGGACTCCCCATACGGCCAACCACAGTTTGAGTTCCAGACCTAGCCACTTGCTTTCTTGTTTTCTCTCTCTCTCCCATCTGGTCAAATAAAAATAAATGAATGAATGAATAAATAAATAAATAAAGTAAAATAGAAATAATTGTTTAAATGATTTTAAAAACTTTAATAGTAAAATAGTAATTATTTAAAGAGTTTAAAGAGCTGACAGACAAATGTGAGAAAAACATCCAAAAAGTTTAAAAAAAAAAAAAGAACAAGAGTAGAAAATAGAAAAGAAGCCTTGAGGATCAATTCAGGAAGGCAATTCTTTGACCAAAAACAAAAAAATAGAAAACAAATTAAAGTAATTTTTTAAAAAATGCAATTTAAGAGACTCTCACAACTAAAAAAGAGGAGCTTCCATATTAAAAAGGCCACAAAAGGCCCAGCACAATGAACCCCTTCTATCAGGGTATGTATCACCATAATATTTCAGAACACTTAGGGACTAAGAGAAGATCTACACACTCTCAGAGGAGAAAAATTAAACAGATCCACATACAAAGGAATAGGTAACAAAATGGCTTCTAAAAACATCACTGGAGCCAGCAATATGGCCTGGTGATTAAGGAAGATGGATCCTACATGTTCAACCATGTGGTTCGAATCCTGACCTCTGGCTTAAAAAACACACCTGGCACATATGCCCCAAATCCCAACCAGATGGAGATAGGCAGAGGGGGGACTGTGGTCTGCACCACAACCCAGTGGCAGATGTTTTCTCCCTCTTCCTCTGACTCTCTCAGGAAGCCATGGCTTCAAAATATGTAAGGCTTCAAAAGTTTTTGTTATGTAAGCTCTCTCAAGAAGCTACTAGAGGCCAGCCGGTGGCATGGTCAAGGCCCTGGACTCCAACATGGCTGACCATGGGTCGAGTCCTGAACCTGGCAACTTGTTTTCTTACCTTCCCTTTTTCTGGTGAACTGAAAATAAAAATGAAAATGAAAATAAAAGCTACTATAGCAATGGACTGCATTGAAAGGAATGAACTGGCCCAGCAGCAATAGCCCAGGCAGTATGGTACTGCCACATGATACTGGATCCGTATGAGGTAAGTTCCAGGTTAGGATCCTGAGTATACTATAACAGAACAGACTCACCCATTGCCCTAGCTGGCCGGAGGTCTTAGGGGACAAGAAGAACCGCAGTGTGGTGAGATCTTAAGAGTTATCTGTCTCTCAAGAAAAAGGAAAAAAAAAAAAAAAAAAAAAAAACACCTTAATTTAAAATCACAGGGGGTGGACCAGGAGGTGAAATGGTAATAAAGGCATTGGATACCACATGGCTGGCTATGCAGTTTAAGTCCTGGACCCAGGGACTTGAAAACATGCTGGGAGCATGTGCATGTGGGTCCAGAATCCCAAGAGGAGAGTGGAGGAGCAGGGATTGCATCATGGCCACTCTCCCTGGAGCATGTGGGTAATTTCCCTTTCTCTTTCTCTCTGGTGAGTGCACATGCTCTATTGCCAAAAAATAAAGGGGGGGGGGGATGCTATTAGGGGGATTGGCCCTGCAGCAAAGCTACTAAATGCTACACAGAGAAATACAAATTCCACATAGCTAACCAGGCTCCAAGTCCCGACCCTCGCAGCTTAAAAAACAAAATGGGCACATGGCCAGAATTCTAAAAGGATGGAGAATTGGAGAAAAATAATTGTCAACTTGACCATGTCCCATTAAGGGGTGCTTTCTCTCTCTCTCTCTCTTTCAAGCATGCACACACGCCATCTGGCATGGGGGTTTAAAAAAAAGTGGGGTATAAACCAAGAAAGAAAAGGCTTATGATATAGGAAAAAGGTGACACCTCCCCACTCAGAAAGAAGCGAGATAAAGGAAATCCCCATAGAGCTGTCATCCCATAAGATGACAACTGTGTTTCAGGCACAGGGGCAAACACTACAGAATGAAGTAAATCAGAAGGTTGTAGCAGAAATGTTTCAGGAAGTTAAGACCACTGGGACAGCACTCTTAATATTCTGTATAAAATATCATATAGAACTATTTAGCTCTTTATATATGGTCCAGAACATCTTTGTAAAAAGTAAAACCAAAAATGTTTTCCTTAAAATGCTTTCAACTCTTTACAGATGTATGTGTGAGTGTGTATGTTTGCACACGTGTACCCACCAATTAAAAAGATCTGTCTGGGGGGCCAGCAGGTGGAGTGGTGGGTAAAGGGCACTAGGCTCCCACATGGCTGACCACGGTTCGGGTCAGGATGGACCTGGCAGCATGCTTTCTCGCTCACTCGCTCACTTGCTCTCCCTCCTTCCCTCTCTGGTCAACTTTAAACAAATAAAAATGAATAAGTAAAGTTAAATCATTCTTTTAAAAAAATCTGTATAGAACTGTATGCATCACCATTCCCTTGCTAAATATATAGGTGATTTTCAACAGCCTCTTAATGTAACACTGAAGCAAATCCTAAGTATTTGCATGCTGAAAGAAGTGAAGAGAGAGAGCTGCTCCCAACTCCCTTTGTCCTTTCCCAGGACATTAATACTTTATTATAGAAGTATTAAATGATACAGAAAAATCCAAGGGAATTCATATTAACTTTGAGAAGGTAGAAATAACTACATATCCCCTCTTCTGGGATATTCCAGACCAAGGTTTGAGGATCTCACTCTTAGATGAGCAGTTAAAAAAAAATTAGGAGTTCAGTTGTTTCTGATTATCTCATTATTTGTATCATGCTTACCACTAGGCTGGCTTTCTGTTTTTTATTTTAAGCAGTTATTTTCTTATCATTTCAACTCATTAACAAAACATTATTGTAAATACTATGAAAGAGAGTACTCTTTAAAAACAATTGCTAATTAAACTCACTTTTATTGACAGATGCAAATATACAAGTTAAGCTGAAACTTTCTAAGCCAGCAGGTGGCGTGGAAGATAAGGCACTGGACTCCCATATAGCCAACAATGGTCTGAGTCCCAGACCTAGTAGCTTGCTTTCTTACTTTCCCTTTCTCTTTCTATCTCTAGTCAAGTTAAAAATAATAATTATTTAAAAAAAAAAAAAAAAAAAAAAGTATACTGCCTAAGTTTTCCAGGCAGCTTCTAGAATGCTGTTAAAATTTCCAGTTCTTGGGACCAGCAGGTGGCGTGGTGGTCAAGGTGCTGGACACTCCCACATGGCCAACCGGGGTTCGAGTCCTGGACCTGGTGGCTTGCTTTCTCACTTCCTCTCTCCCTCACTCTCACCCTCTGTCTCTCTCTGGTCAAATTAAAAAAAATCAATGAATGAATAAATACATAGTAAAATAGTCATTAAAAAAAAAATTTCCAGTTCTTAATCTAGGTATATACAGGATATACTCATCTTGTGAAATTTGACTTGATTCTTATGCAAAATTTAAATTTACTGGGATCAACAGATGGCATACCAGTTACATTGCCAGACTCCCACATGAACGTCTCAGACCTGGTGGCTTGAAAATTACTCCAGGTGTGTGCATGTGTGCCCAAGACCCTGAGAAAAGAATGGAGACGGGATTGCAGCATGGTCATCCACCCTGCTGAGATGATTTCTCACTTCCCCTCTCACTGTCTCTGTCTCTCTTTATAGAGAGTACATGAAAAATAATTTGCTAATGATAATGTATATGGTAATATCTTTGCCTTCACTAATATGCACTGTATTTATGCTGGGAAAAGCCATGTTGTACACTGTGAAGATGTATAGTGATTAAATATAAAAAGTAAAAATAGGGGTGGCAGGTGGCAGGGTGGTTAAGGGCGCTGGACTCCCACATGGCCAACTGTGGTTTGAACCCCGGATCTGGCAACTTCCTTCTCACTTTCTCAGTCTCTTGCTCTGTCCTTCTACGGTCAAATTTAAATAAATAAATAAAGTTAAATTAAAATGAATAAAATAAAAAGAATAATGCTTTTTTCATTTAAGTGTCATTCCTTTTTTTAATATATATACACACATGTAATAAATACATATTGTAATACATATATGTGTATGTGTGTGTGTGTGTGTGTGTGTGTATATATATATATATATATATATATATTTGTAAAACTGTAACACTGAATGCCTGTAAAAGTGTTTCACAAAGTTTCGTGGGGATTTTTTCTTTTTTTAAGAGTTATTTTTACTATAGGGCATGTGTACTTGCACAAGAGACAGATAGCAAGAAATCACCCCCCAGTGGTATGGCCCTACCACAATCCTTTTTCCTCCAGTCTCCTCTCGGGATTTTGGGCACTCACACACATGCACCCAGAGTGCGTTTTAAGCTGCTGGGTTTTGGACTTGAACTGAGGTCAACTATGTGGGAGTCCAGCGATGTGCTGGTCCCAGTAAGTCATAAGTTTTAAAGTAAGTCTTCATGGGTATTTAGGCACTAGCCTAGTCATTACAAACAGAGTCTGCAGTAGGAGACTCAGACAGATGACAGGTAATTCCACATAGAGTTTTCAGTGCTATAAAGAAAGCAAGTAAAGCGAAGAGATAATATTTAGGTATGCTGAAAAAGAAGGCACTTGAACAAGTACCTTAATAAAATGATGGAGCTGGTTATACTAAATGGAGAAAGACTATTTCAGGTAGAAGAAATAGCAAATACCAGAATGTTCCTTCCTTATTATTCAAGAAATAATAAGTCCAGGATGGCTATATTGAATGACCATAAGGAAAAAAAAAACTTCAAGAAGTATACAGGAATGAGTGTACATAGAATGTTAAAAGCCATGAAAAGAATTTCAATTTTATCCTAAAAAAATGAGAAGTACTAGGCAGTTTTAAGTGAGGGAACATTAACTCAATCTCATCTCACTTAAGCTTAAAATGAAGATGCAAATTTCTAAAGCCATGTCTTTCTGTTACATATACTACAACGCATGTCTGCCACACTATAAATTGTCTCTTTCTTTAAAATCCACAATTAGATCTATGTACATAATGGCATAAACTATATGAACAATTAATCCAATTATTACATTATAAATACTGAAGATGAACACTACCGTTAAAAAATAAAATCTCATAGCTCAACTACACTACAGCAAGAGGTTCAATACCATTTACAGAGTTAGCGTTAGGATGGTTCAGGTAAATCAGTAATTATATAAGTTGAAAGTGTGCAATGCTTTAGGGGAAGAAGCAAGAAGAAGTGAGTCACTGAAGCATAATGGGAATAAATGGCAACTCAGTTAACATGGCAACTTCTGGTTGAGCAGAGACCCGGAAGTACCCATCATTTTTCTAAGTTCATTATGAAAACTGATACTTTAACAGATGCTACTTGGCTATGGAATTTGTATGTGTGGTGCATATGAGACGTAAACATGGATATGTCTTTGAGAATTGTCCTCCTATAATTTACATACGTTCATGTTGGCATATAATATTCAAAAAGGCTATAAACCAAAGTGTTCAATGACTGGAATATCTACTGGGTCAGATTATAAGTAAATATTTTTCCTTTTTATCCAAATGTATTTTGCTATTTTTCTACTCCAGATGTGCATCATTTGCTCACAAAAAGCCAATTAATAAATGCATTTGAAATGGATTTTCAAACTATCCTATACAGAACCTCAGTGACTATGAGGTACAAGGACAAAATGTTCACATGACAACAGCCATGTGTATACAGGCAGAAATGTCCAAATGTCTCTGAGGCAGAAATGTCCACATGCAGAAGCACAGACGACTATGTTCTATGACGTAACACTGTGTGTTTGAAGCACTGTGATAGGAAAACAAAGGATGGTGCTTTATTATACTTTCTTACAATCTAAAAATTATTCTGGCGAGGAATATACATTTCTTAAATAATGTCCTTTTCGTTTTACCTGTTTTCTCTCTTTAGGATTCAGAAGTAAGTACCGAGGATCAAAAACTATCTTGTGCAACTCCTTCTCCCATGTTGAAAAAGCAGACACCTTTAAAATAAAAAATGTATTGCTCATAATTAAGTTTGCTCTAAAAACGTAAAGGTCATAATTTTGCTTGAAATCTACAGGACATCTGTTTATAAAGGTGACATAAAAACCATTCTGAAGTTTCCATCACTAATGAATGACAAACAGCAGGAGGCTAGCAAAAGCAAATTTCCACACTAATTGGCTCTGAACATTTCTACATTATATAAAAATAACACACACTTAATTAGTTATTAAAATAACCACTACTGTGTGACATTTTAAAAATCAGTACATCAGAAAAAGCCTTGAAGATGTGCACTTTGATTTCCCTTTCTTGCTCCAATCTTGTGAAGAATATTGTGATATTAAACAATAATACTTTTTCAAGTGAATCTGTGAATATAACCAAAAGGTTGAAATCCCTTTCTCAATTAAGTTTCTAACAATAATACCATAAAACATCAGTTCTTTAACCACAACTCATTCTCAAGATAGTAAAGGAAGAATTATAGATACCTTACCTATCCCAAGTAGTCCGCCATTCTGCAATGTTACTACTCGTCTTACATTACTCACCAAAATTTAATGACCCAATAAATGTTAAATGTTATTTGTACTTAAAAGAATAGTAAAATGGCATTTAGTTAAATATATGATTAGCCAGGAAAAAGGCTGTTTCAAAAAAGGACAGTAATTTGATAGGGTTCCCTTACCCCCCCCATGACATGAGCACTAACCTTAGATTTGACCTTTTAGCAAGACATATTTATATTACTTATACAAAACAGAAATATCTCCCCCAAAGATTGTTTTCTGACCCCTCTCTCTAGCAGCATGTCCTTGAACTGCTTCATTCGGGCCTCCAGAGGGACAATGGCCCTTTCTCGGGCAGCTTTAATTTCAGCTTCCATGGCAGCTTCTTTCTCTAAATCAATGTCTTTATTATCGTCTCTCCTATAAAAAATAAAACATAAGGCATCAACTGACAAAATACTAATAAATAAATCTTACTAAAATCTTAAAATCAATGGAATTTTCAAGACTCACTACTGAGCAGCATATTTTTGGCAAAAACAAATTATAATGAGGGTTTCAAATGAACTCTAAGGAATAAACAACTTCCATTATAAAAATAATATAAAAACTACAATGAGCTTCTAATGTTATTACAATGGCTGCACTGTCTGAAAAAAAAAAAAAAAATATATATATATATATACCCTTAATGTGCTGTCTCCCTAACACTACTGATACACAAGTGAACTACTTTACTATAAAAAAAAAAAAAAGTTTTTCTAACATTGCAGTAAAATTCTACATGTTAGAATCAAACACAACACAATATAAATTTTTTTGTTCTGAAACGACATACAAAGAACAGTATTTTCTGAAAATATTTTACATTATAAATACAGAAAATATTTTTTAAATCTAAAAAAATGGTATTAAGTGGTATTAATTCGTAGTAATTATTTGTAAAATAAAATTAAAATATCTGCAAACCTGGCCAAGTGGATATGTGAGATATATACCTTACCTACCTGCCATGTTTTAATTACTCACTTTCTGGGTGATAAAGTTGAGATTTAAGTTGAAGGACAGGTCCCAGAGAGCAACATGGGCCCAGGAGTAGTTAGGTGGAATTAGAACTGTTCATCAATGACTAAACTATTTCTCGTTTCTCCAAAAATGCACCTCAGGGCTAAGGGCAACTCTGTTGCTGTGTGATACTCAAGTGAGATTGTAAACATGAAATCAAGTCACCTCTCAAATATATGTACTATGAAAAAGGCCAACTCTTATATTCAAAAAAGTAAATTCAATAATACCTGGGTGTATTTAAGCAGACTCTCATTCTTAAGTATAGTCTGCTAAGTATATTAATAAAGTTGTTTCATATGTATATTAACAAAGTTGTTTCATATGTTTCCTACACAAAATTATGGGAATGAGTAAAGAGAGCATCTGGAAATTCAAAAACAAGCTACATGGAGAACTGTAAGTAGCCCAAGAGATTTAAATGGAGCCAAGGCTAAGCCACAAAAATAAGTGAGAGGTATTTAGTATCTCAGGGAATGAATCAAAAGAAATAGAAGACATAGTTCATGACCTGCAGGAACTTAGCGACATAGTCTGTGACCTAAGATATGCACAAAACAAACAGGTAAAAGCAATTTGCCAAACAATATACCCTCTTATAATAACTTATATAAGAACTATTTAAATAATTTAAATACATCCAAGAAATATAACTATGAAAACAACCTTTATCGAATTATGCTAAATGAAAATATCACAATACAAACTATCACTATCTATCTCAATAAATGAAATAAAAGAAAACTAAGCCAGGAAAAATAGGCTTTTAGCTTTGTACCTAAATAGAGAAGCTCGGGCAATCCACATAAAGGACTTCTTTGACATTCTCCTGATAAAAGCAGTTAAAAACCTTACAGAGTTGTCTATAAGAACAAACAATTAAAAACAACCTAAAAGATTAACATTGTAGGAACATCCAAAATTATGGCACACAAACAGAATGAATACAGTCATTTGTAATTATTAAGAAAACAAATGCTTACTTTAGATATTTTGTTAAAGAATTAAAAAATCAGATAATCACGACTAATAAAAATATTTAAACATTTGGTAAAGAACTAAAAAGTCAACTGTAAAAATAAAACAGTTCTGTAACAATGCTAGATTATGAGTGATTCTCTTTAATATCTTAATTTTTTTAATCTGTTTTTGCCAATAAACAAAATTTTTAAAAAGAATCACCCTTCATAGGGGTTGTCTTACTAATTTCCTTGCCATAATTTGGCTGCATTCAATCTGTCCTTTTCAGATAAAGACTATGATTAACCAATCCCTAATAATGTCTTCAAACTTTCCTTTTAGCTGCTAAATAATGGTCACATCCCCCATCACACACATCCTCTACCCGACCTTCCACCCCCCCATAATAAGTAACATCCACATTTTATCCAACTCTAGAGCACTAGCCAAGCTAATGCTTCTACATCGAGCAGTCTCTCTCTCTGAGCACTTACTAACTAATAAGCTCACAGTTCCAACTCCTTACCAGGTATTAATGACCATAGACTCAAGGACTAGGTTAAGTCATCAGGTAAGTTTATATATATAGAGATAAGTCTGTCTGTTTTTCATGACATCTCTGCTATGGTGTCTGTTGGGGTCTATATTGAGGAGGAAAGTTATTTTTTTATGTAAAATTCAGTCCTGACACATTTCTAAAAACAACTAATTCTTAAAATCATATTTGGTTTCATTAAGTCCTATTTGAAAAAATCAAATCTTTTGCAAATTTAGCAACATAAGAGACACCACTTTTATATTATAAAACAGTTATTTAATGTCTGACCCAAGAGAACAATCAAGACTTGTCTCTTAAAAACATACACATTACCTGTCTCTTCCAATCACTAACTGATTATGATCTGACTTATCAAAAGTAAAATCTACCTGAACTACACAAACTATATGTACTACTTACTTCCGTTTTTTTGCTTTAACAGGTTCGTCTTCATTCATTTCTTCCATTAGTTCTTGTTCTTCTTTAACTGCAAGACAAAATTTAATTAAACTTTGAGTAAAAATAAGCAGCAGGGCCAGATACCACACGGTGACCATGGTATAAATCCCAGGACCAGTCAGCCTAAAACATGCCAAACACACAGGCAAGTGCCCCAGATCCAACAGGCTGGAGGACTGGGATCTCAGCCTGACCAGACCCTGTGGAAGCTGCTCCTCTCTCCCTCTCATTCTCACATGTGCTCTAACATGAAGTAAAAAGTAAACAAAAAGAAATAAGCAAGCAACAACCAAATATTTAGGTATGAATTCTGCTAATCATTACCAGAATCATAGTACTTTAATAGTACTAGACAGAAGCTGCAGTTTCACTCACTTGCACTCATAGAGAACTGCCACTTTTGGATGGACAGCATTGTCGGGGTCGGATGCCCTGGCAAAAACATTTTGAATATCATTAAGAGCAATTATGCATATATTTCACAATGTTTTCTGTAAAAAAAATGTACTTTTTGTATAAAATAACCACCTCTTAATGTTCACTGCTTATAAAACATTTTAAAATACATTGGAATGCCACCTGAACATGGCATTGCCTCTTAATAAGATTCAGCTGTCTGTGATGCAGAAGTGCACAGCATTAACACAATGCTCTGCACGATACTGGGCCACATAAGAAGGCACCTGGTTCATATCCCAAGTCTTCCCATGCATGCCAGGCATACTAGGATAAAAATCACAGCAAGACCCTGTCAAACCTTGTCTCTCTCCACCCTCTGCCCCCCATCTCTGTCTATCTCCTCTTAGAAGAAACAGATAAACCTAAGTAAAATACTTTTTAATACACGTACAGTTTTGCTTTAAAAAATATACTAGTCACAAAAGGTGCTAAAAGACTCGCTTAGAAACATTTAAGTAATATTAATGAGCATCAAGCAAGGATCAACAGTACCAGCACATCTTAGGCAAACTAAAATCTTGACAAGTACAAGAGTGACACATACATATATTTTACGAAACACAATCTTTATCCAAACTCTCTGGATTTTTTTTTATCCATCGCTGCACTCAAACAAGCATCAGATTCTAATTTTCCCTTTCTAAAATGTCTTATATTCTTGAAAAATAAAGTATTTCTAACTAGTCTCACATTTTCTTTCAAAATACTAAAAGAATGTAAAGTTAGAGGAAAATTTTCTTCTTACTTAGTTTCTTCATGTCTTCCATCCCTTTCTTATGAGGGGGCTCCTGAATAATTTTGTCAACATCTGCCCTTCCAATCAGATCATCAGGTCGGTCCCACATAGAAAGACGAGTGGTAGGATTATAAAAGAAGACCCTCTCGTCACCAGTCCAAACAACACACCTAAGAATTGATTCAAGATATTATTATATTAAGACATATTTTATAAGTAGGTCTTTTATTGTCAACCTGTCAAAAGGGGTGAGGAGAGAATTGTAAAGAAGGACATGTTCTTATTACAAATAGGTATTTATAGAGAACATGGCTTTTAGAACAGAAGAGAGTTAAATGGTTAAGGCAAAAATAGCAGCTCTACACACTAACTGAATAAAAGGAAAAAAACAAAGCAATTTGTGATCAAAGCTTAGGAACCTGATATGACACTCAATATGAGAGTACTAAATGTTAAACTACCAACAAAGGGTAATTTTAATGGCAACAAGTAACTGAAGTTACAGCTAAAGAATAGACCACAGCACACTATCCATTACACAGTAGTTTTTAATATTTCCACAAACCAAAATTACATACTCAAATGCCACCTTTTATGAAGCCTTTAAGATCTGATTGTGCCTAAGATAAAAAGCTGTGCTAGGGAACCGTAACATACTGGTACTGTTAACCTCATCTAGAAAATCCAGAGAAAATACAAAAACCAAGTACATGAGGATGTTGTAAAGTTAAGAAAATAAATCAATAGACAAAAGTATGGAGGAGACTCAAAATTCAAAGTAGCAATTGCAATGGAAAAAGTTTCCCACTTCCCTCCCCTCACAGTTCTCCCCTGAGGATGGTCCCTAGCTACAGAATGATATGGTGGCAGCAGCACAGGAAGGTACAATTTCAATAGATAGAAAGTGTTTACAATCTAAAGTTAATCAATAGCTGTCAAGCCCAAGGTGCCACAGATACTAAAATTACCAGTTTCCTATATGTCTAGTTATTTCCTGTTGAAATAGTTATTTAAAACTTAAAAGCAACTGTAATAACTAGATTCCATGAAATTCACTTGAATGAAAAGACAGTTCTCCATATAAAAAGAATAAAACTTTAGAAAATTAAAAATAAGATTAAACTGGATTGGCTCAAGAGCAGTATGGAGATAAGAGAGAAAACAGTGAACTAGAAGATGGATCAATAATTATAGCATTTGAAAAACACAGGAGAGGGGCCAGCAGGGAGTATGATGGTTGAGTCGCTAGACTGACTAGAGTTTGAGCCCTGGACTTGGTGACTTGAAACTTACTTGGGCACCTGTGTGTGTGCGCCCAAAATCCCAAAAGGAAAATGGAGAAGGGACTGTGGTGTGGCCATTTCCCTAGGGGTGATCCCTCGCCTTCTGTCTCCCTAGCAAGTGCATACACTCTACAGCAAAAATCTCTAAAAAGTTTGAAAAAAGAAAAATAGGGGAGAAAATAATGAACAGAGCCTTAAGAATGTATGGGACTATAATAAAATGTCTAACATACATACAAGTCATTCAAGTCCCCAAAAAAGAGAAGAGAATACAAAGAAATAAATGTGAAGACAAGAGTCAAATTATTTGCCTATTTGGTAAAAGGTATAAATAAATATTCATACTGAAGTTGTTCAGCAAATCCCAAATAACATAAAATTCAAGAAAACCTAAAATCAAACAGGTAAAGAGCCAGCAGGTGGCGTGGAGATTAAAACAGCTGAATCCCACATGGCCAACAGTGCAGTTCCAGTCCTGGATTGGGCGGCTTGAGTATGTGAGTGTGTGCCCAAGATCTCAAGAAGAGAATGAGGACAAGGGATTGTGATCACCCATTTGCAGGGTGATATCTCTCTCTCTCTCTCGCTCGCTCGCTCACTCTCTGTCTAGAAAGCACAGGAGCCCTATAACAAAATTAAAAAAAAAAAAGTTAAAATCAAAAATAAAGTGATAAAAAAAAAAAACCTTGATAAAATAGAAAAAAATAAATGCACAATACATAGAGAGAATGGCTCAAATGACCATGAATTTCTTACTGGAAAGCATAGAGGCCAAAATATAACAAAATGACATGTTTAAATTTCTGGGGCAAAAAACTGTGAACCTAATACTCTATATCCAGTGCAAATATCCTTCAGAAATAAGGCAAAAAAGATATACTTAGATAAAGGAAAAAGAGAACTTGTCCTCAAAAGATTTTTTCTATAAAGTCTATGCTAATAGTAAGTAAATCTTTAAAACTAAAGAAAAAAAAAAAAAAAAAACACCTGAATCTTTAGAAATGAAAAACATAAGATTTTTGCACTCTAAGTTCTTAAAATATATATGAAAATGTATTGCCTGATAAGAGTTTTCATGTATGTAGTATTAACACACAGGCCAAATGAAACATAAAGGCTCGTGGTTGTAAGGTTAAAAAAGGTTGTACGGTTATGGTAGCAAGGTTTCCACATGCTGTGAAGTGGCACAATACTAACTACAAGTAGACTGTGAGGCAAGGTACGTACAATGTAATCCTCAGAGTAACAACTAAACAGATATCACCAAAAAAGCCAATAGATAAATGAACTGGCAGAGGAGATATAAACAAAAGATACCACTACAAACTGTCTTTAAGAGATTCACTTTAAATATAAAGTCATATGATGTTTGAAAGTAAATGAATAAAAATGATTAACCAGGGCCAGCAGGCCTTACAGTGGTTAGAGCCCTGGACTGTCACCTGGCCAACCACGGTTGAGTCCAGAATCCAGCGGTTGGCTTTCTCACTTTCCCTCTCTGTCTCTCTCTGGTCGAGGTTAGAAAATAATAATAACGGGACAAGCAGGTGGCATGATGGTTAATGCTCTGGATATTCCCATATTGCCAACCACGGTTGGAGTCGCAGACATGGTGGCTTGCTTTCTCACATTCCTTCTCTCTGTGTGCTTGTCTTTCTGTGATCAAATTAAAATAAATGAATGAATAAATAAAACTGAATAAACAATTCCTTAAAAAAAAAAAAAAAAAAGAAAACGATGACAATGAAGAGATTTTTTTTGAGAGCTTTATGCTATAAGGCACATGCACTCGCCAGACAGACAGAGACAGACAGAGAGACAGAAAGCGAGAAATCACACCCCAGGGGTGATGGCCATGCCGCAATCCCTTCTCCTGCATTCTCCTCTCGGGATCTTGGGCACGCACGCACATGCGCCCGGCGTGAGTTTACCCCGCCGGGTCCGGGACTCAAACCACGGTTGACTACAGGGGAGTCCAGCGACATAGCCATTACACTAACTGCTGGTCCCAAAGAGAATTATTTTTTAAAAAAATAAAAACCATTCTCTGACTGCACAGCAATTAAATCAATTAATTAAGGTACCTAGAAAAACACCCAATATTTGGAAAGAAGCAACAGACTAAATAATTTATGAGTCAAAGACAAAATCCACAAAGTAAATTTTAAAATAACATGAACTTAATGTCAACACAATATAACATATCAAAATTTGCCTGCTGCCAGTAATGTAGTGTTGAGTAGAGAATGCATGGCTTTAAAAGTATCTATTAGGAAAAAAGAGAACTATACTAATGACCTAAGGTTCCACAGTAATGAAACAGAAAAGAAGCAAAGAGTAAACCCAAAATAAGTAAAAGATGACAAAACTAAAGTAAAATGACAAACTTTTAGCTTCAGTGATTAAGAACACAAATTACCACAAACGCTAAAGAAAAAGGGAGTATCACCAAAGATCACAGAAACATTTAATTTTTTTAAGAGGTTTTTGTAATAGGGTGCATGCACTCACCAGAAAGACAGAGAGAGACAGAAAGCGAGAAATCACCCCCCTAAGGGGGATGGCCACGCCGCAATCCCTTCTCCTCCATTCTCCTCTCAGGATCTTGGGCACGCACACACACGTGCCTGGCGTGAGTTTAAGCCACTGGGTCTGGGACTCAAACCGCGGTCGACTACATGGGAGAGTCCAGTGACATAGCCATTACGCTAACTGCTGGTCTCCACAGAGACATTTAAATGACATTTTAAAAAAGTGAAAATTTCATGACAGATTGAACATAAAAAAATAAGTACAATTTTTTAGAAAATACAACTTACCGGGAACCAGCAGTTAGTGTAATGGCTATGTCACTGGACTCCCTTGTAGTCGACCACGGTTTGCGTCCCGGACCCGGGGGCTTAAAAATTATGCCAGGATCGCGTGTGCGTGCGTGCCCAAGATCCCGAGAGGAGAATGGAGGAGAGGGGCCTGCGGCGTGACCATCACCTCTGGGGGATGATTTCTTGCTTTCTGTCTGTCTCTCTCTCTGTCTGTTGGGCAAGCGCACACGCCCTATAGCAAAAACCTCTCAAAAAAAAAAAAAAGAAAATATAACTTACCTAAATTTACACAAAAAATAAACATGTGAATGACTATGAAAGAATTTTAACTTAACAAAGACATTCCCTGAAAAAAAATTCCAGTACCAAATGGTTTACTTATTAAGGAAAATGTAATATCCTCTTACACATTCTTCAGTATACAAGAGTAGAAATCACCAATCACTTACTCAATACCAAAACCTAACAATTATAAAGGAAAATTATAGAAAAACATCCCACATAATCTAAATATAAAAGTTTTGGGGACCAGCAGATGGCGTAATGGCTACGTTGTTGACTCCCATGTAGTCGACAGTGATTCAAATCCCAGACCCGGTGGCTTAAACTCACTCAGGGCACATGTGCATGTGTGCCTAAGATTCCAAGAGGAGAACAAAGGAGAAGAGATTGCAGCATGGTCAGCCCCCAGGGAGCGATTTCTCGCTTTTTGTCTCTGTCTCTCTTTCTGGTGAGCACATGTGCCCTATAGCAAAAACCTCCAAAAAAAAAATGCTTAATAAAACATTAGCAAGTCAAATCCATATGCCATAATACATAAAAAGGATAAGGTATCATGGCAAAAAACAGAAATACAAAGCCTGTTTAACAAAATTCAATGTAATTCACCATATTACAAGTATGAAGAAGGGCTGGCCTTGCGGCATGGTGGTGAGCACTGCGCATCACAAGCTGGATCCCACATGGCAAACACAGGTGGAATCTCAGACCCAGCAGCTTGCAAAACATGTCAGAAGCACGTGCATATGTGTCCAAAATTCTGATAGGATGGAGGAAAATTAGCAACATGATCATGCCCTGTTTCTGAGTTTTCCCTCTCTTTCTCACTCTCGTACATGTGTGCAAGCACACATTCCCTCTGACATAAAAAAAAAAAAATAAACAGAGAAAAGAAATTCATTTCACTAGACTTATGACTTAAAAAAAAAAAAATTGCAAACAGAATAGTAGGGAACTTCCTCCCTCAAACCGACAAAGGGTATTCATGACCAACACAGGTGAAATTATCTGAGGGTAAAAAATGGGAAATGTCTTGTAATACCAGGTATTTCCCTATTAACAGGAAAAGGCAAGGATGAGCACTTTATCTTTTTTTCAGAATTATCTTAATTTTATTTATTTTTAAAGTTATTTATTATTTATACATTCAATCGCTATACATCATTTAGCTTATAGAGAAAGTTTACCCAACATGAAATACACGACAGACTAGTCCAGTTGAGAATATCATACAAGTTATCATCAATAGGTAAATCACTTTTGTGACCCCAAAATGTCCGACTTCTCTATTTTTCTCCCTAATTTCC